GCCAACTGATTCCTGCAAACCTAGTGGTGCACGCGCACGCACAAACACACACACACACACACACACACACACACACACACACATCCTTGAAAGAGTATGAAACCCTTCTCCTTGAAGGTAGAAACTGTAACAGTGATCTGGAAACCACTCTTTTCATAGCAGTACTGTGAGAAGAGCAGACTGCTTCTTAAAGTGTTAAAGCAGATGTTTTGGAAGCTGTCAAGAGACTTATCCTGGCTACTTAATTTATAGAACTTCTAAGAATGAAATATGAATATTAGCACTTGCCCTGACTCCCATGCTTTGATATTCTGAGATGATGGACAAGATCACGGATGAGGTCACATCTACATCTGTAGACCTTTGAACACTTTGGAATGGTTACTACGTACTTCCCATTAATGAACGTAATAATGACTGTTAACAGCATATGTCTTGTGGTTGGATGTTATTTCTTTTCCACTAACCATTTCTCCCATTCCCTCTCCCTCTCCCATTTCTATCCCTTTCAAGAAGATGATCTCTTCTGTGACTACTTACCTTGGAAAAGGGATGTGACAACATGAACCATAAAAATGCCTTACCAATAGGCTCTAACTTTTAACTTCCAAATGTTTAAGTATTTAGATAACAGGGACTACACAAATGTTTGAAATGGAAGGAGGAACATATCTTTCCATAACTCTTAACTAAATTTCTCCTACTACTCTTCAGGTTAAAGAAAGGATATTTTTCAATCTGGGAAAATGATGGAGAAATAAAGGCAAGATAAGGAAGGTTTTCTGGGTCTGACAGAGAGGGAAAAACCTGAGAAAATTTAAGGAAATTCGAGGCGAAAAGAGTTTAGGTGCCAATTCATGTGGTCCGGGGTCCTCTGTAAACGTTAGACAGCAAGAGCCCATCAATGGAATATCCTTGTGCATCTCAAAGACAGGGAACACACAACTTCATTCAGATTCTTTTAAGCCAGGATATACGTGGAAACAGGAGATATCCTAGTGGGATATACACGTCCTGGATTTAATAGATTCTCACTGGATCCAATTAGTAAATCACTTGAGACCAGGTGGGTCCTCATCTCCTGGAATCTTGACCTACCTGAGCTTCTTCTACCAGGACTCTTGCACAAATCAAGGGAAAAAGCAGTCAAGATAAAGTGACAGATAAATGTTTGCACCACAGTGCAATGAAACCTGGAAAATAGAATTAAAGATAAATTGTTACTTCCAAGCCTATAGAAACTGAGATTTGCACCTGCATATTTTTTCTTTTAACTGGTAAAATATTCACAACAAAATTTACTACTTTCAACCATTGTTTAAGGGTAAAGTCTACGAGCTCAGATAAATATTCACATTGGTTCGTACATCATCACCATATCCCATATTCCAAGAAAAAATCATATTTTAACATCCTTCTGCAATTACGAATCATAGTACCCCATTGAATCACTAGTTCCTCCCTTCTAAGTCCTCCTCACAGCCAATATGATAAACACACTTAGCACTAATATAAATAAAAACTTCAAATCTACTATGAATCTTGACTACTTCTAAGATAAAAAACCTAAATCACAAACATGTGAAGGACACAACTCATGACAAGAATCATGAAACTACATACTAAAATGTAGACTGGTATCTCAAACATTGTTAGCTTAACATAATGGCCTGTCAAAGGCATAACTCCTACGATATTCCTAACAGCATTCATGTGTCACTAAGTACTACTTTACATTTTTAGGTTGAACCAATTAATCACAGTATAGCGTCAACCTAACCAAACATTTCTTATCGGGGGTGTCCATTCATCCATTAAAACATCAGAACGTGTACAACACATGCTTTGCTTGTAATTAGTCTAGGGAATAATCTGATGTCTTGATTTGTACAATATATGAAAGAAAATTAATAGACTATTTGTCTATCCAGAAAGAATCGTAGTAGTTTGCTTCATGGTCTTCTCGCTTAGCCATTTTCTTACCTTATTTGTCCTCCATTATGGTTTAGGACTTTTATAATCAGTCCATTGACTATTTAGTATCTTAGCATGAGGTTAAATAAGCTATGTTAATTGAAGCTCTAATGGTTTTAGAACATTTCATAGATTTCAAAGAATTAAGTCATCTACAATTTTTCCCTGATAATTGTTTAATTTTTTATGATGATGCTTGTTTGTCTTTTTTTTTTTTTTTTAATTGACAGACAAGGTAGAACCTGACTTAATAGGGTTTCTGGTTTGTATAATAAACAACTTTTCATCCCTTCACTCACCACACACACCACAACACACACACACACACACACACACATTTAAGACTGAGAAAATCAGAAAAATTGGAGAAAGAAATAGGAAAATGACCTTGTAATGGTCGCTCTGGCTGATTTGATTAGCACAAATGGTGGACATGAAAGGTGAAAACATATGGCTTATGTGTAATGTGACAAACAGGATACTCTGATACAAATACTGTCCTAGATCTCGTTTTTATTCTGTCGTGACTTGCTAGTAGTGTGTATCCACTGAGATTTCAGAATATTTGTGATAGAGATTTTCATCCCCATTGGTTGAGTGATCAGACTTAATACCAGACACAACGTAGAGCCATGGGGATTGTGATGCCCCACCTCACTGGGCCTAAGGATATCCGAGGTATGGTAAAACATTATTTCTTAGTGTGTCTGTGGGGTGTTTCTGGAAGAGACCAGCATTTGAATAGTTAGACTGAGGAAAGAAGATCACCCTCACCAATGCCAGTGGGCATCATCTAATCCACTGAGGGCCTGGATAGAACAAAAAGGGCAAATTCACTTTCTCCATTTGAGCTGGGGCATCATCTTCTTCTGTCCTCAGACACCAGCACTCCTGGCTCTTAGGCCTTGGGACTCAGAACAGGACTTCCACCACCAGGTCCCCTGATTCTCTGACCTTGGAACTCATGCTGAATTACACCACTGGCTTTCCTGAATGCTCCAATTAGCAGATGGCAGGTTGTGGGATTTCTTGTCCTGCATAATCATGTGAGCCAAGTCTTATAATAAATCCTCTCCTGATATATATGTATGTGTGTATATATATATGTGTGTGTGTGTGTGTGTGTGTGTGTGTATTGTGTGTAAATACAGGGTGTCCCAAAAGTTGCCATACATAGGGGAAATGAGAAATTATATTTAAATATATCTTTATTTACAAAATATTCATTACAAATTTTATAAAATTTTTCCTTTGTATGGGGATTTTGGGGATACCCTATATATAGATAGATAGATATACGTAGGTAGGTAGATAGATAGATACGCGCACACACATGCAGAAGAGTGGCAAGTCCCATGAAGAGTACATATAAAGTATTATGTTGTGGCAGTAGTAAATGATGGGTTTAAAGAAAGAACCAAGCACCCATGAGATATAAGTGAGATCGCAGGTCTCACTTATTTTTATTTTTATTTATTAGCACTGGAAGCATCCTAGATGGGAATAGAATGCTTGGGGCAGTTTGACAAGGGAAACATTACCTTTAAAAGTAAGATGCAGAGATCAAGAGAAACTTACTGTCATATTGGATTATGCTGCACAAATGGGTGGAAAGTCCTCCCTCCACTTGAAAGGAAAACAGAAGAGGCAAAGATTAATGAGTCAAAGCTAATTAAAGAAGTAATTGCTTCTAGGGATGTGCCCTAGGTAGGGAGGTAACTGTTCTGGAGGCTAAAAATATCATAGCTTGATCAGATAAAATTGCACAAATGAAAGGTAAGTAGAACAATAAAATGCCAAACATATTAAAATGTTCTCTGTTTATTAGAAAAATAAATTGTATTCTGAAATTCAATAAAAACCTAATTAAGGTTGATTTTGGCTGGGCTTCACTGTTGTTGCAACTATTGTTACTTATTAATTGTTCTCTGGGGTCCAAAAATCTCTACTGCATGGGGTATCTGAGATCCTAAATTTCCTATAGTGTAGTAATTAGACACAGGGTTTTAAAATTTTTTGGAAATGTCCAAAATGTTAATGAGAATTGTACCTCTATTCAAGATCAGGCTGTACAGACTAATTAAAACATTCAGTTTGTTTGCTTTGGGGTAAAATTATACCTATTCACTGTGGGAAAACTTGCTACTTAGGATATTTGTGTTATAGGTCTTCTATTAATAAAGAGTAGAAACAAATTAAGTATTCCCTAAACAATGCAGTCTGGCAGTCAAGATTTTTCTAAACATGGGATCCATTCATGAGTGGAAATAACAAAGGGAATATTTATTAATGAGAATATCTCTAAAATTCTTTTAAAATTTGTTCAAACTTTAAGCAACCCAAATCCTTCCAGCTACTTGCAGTAACTTTGATTTCTTTCATGCTACAAAGCCTTTGTCTTGCACTGTTTACATGAGTAAAATTTCAATAAAAACGATTAGTGAATAATTTGAATGTTATTAAGCAAATGTTATTAAGACAATTATTGTATAAGATGCCTTTTATTTCTAAGTTATTTGAACTCCTTTGCTTGACTCAAATAAGTTATCCAACACTTTGCTATATGTAGACTTTGCCTTAAAGTACTGTCAGGAGATTTATGAGCTCAAAAGACAGATTAGCAAATTCAATGTTACCAAGCACAGTAATATCTGTTTACTTCCTAAGAATTTATCCAGAAGTTCCTATTGACTTTCTTTTAGATATAGCCTGACTGAAGTTCTCTGTAGTAGTTCTTCATGCTTTCTCTATAGCCAAGGCACACTCACCAAAAACTCTTGTCCTTAGCAAAGACCTTAAATAATTAATGCTTTCCATTCTTCCAACATCCTTACCAGAGAAAAGGTTGAAAAACCAATATAAGGTACTAAGCACTAAGGAAAACCAAAGCAAAACAACCACGATTATATTATACTACAGACAACTAATTCTCATAAATATCATTTTACAAAGTCCAAAGCTCTTTCAAGATGCATTATCTCCCTGTTTGTTTCTTTGCAGTTGGTGGAGACACTTTTATTCTGATCTTGATGAATTGATGAGATTCCCGCCGTGTCCCATTTGACATATCTGTCTGCCATGTTACTTCATCTGGCCTGTGACTCTTCTAAGAAGGTTCATTAACTGATGATTAAGTAGGTAAACACTGATTCATCCTCTGTTACTTCAACCACCAGGCCACTGAGATTTGTTTTCTACTATCTTGGTATTCACATGTAAAGTTGCTGGTCTCTAGCTTCCAAAAGTGCTTTGTAAGTCTTCCACTCACATGTCATTTTTCCTATTTATTCTTTTGCTCAGCTGAGAGATCTGATGGAGTTTTCCTTTTCTTTCTTTTTCTTGGCAACAAAACATCACCATCTGCACACTGAAATTTTTCTTTTTAATCTGCAGTAGCTCTATCAAAGGGGATGTGTCTTTCCCTCATAATTTCTTTTCCAGGGGAGGGTGAGTTTTGTTTTGTTTAACTGTACTCCTTCGGTGCAAGTTTCCTCGGTGATCTTGTCTCAAGGAGGCAAAATGATTAGGAGGAGAGCATGCATCACCTCAGAACCTACAGCTCAGCATTGGGCTCAAAATATGATATTTTACAGCAAGTGCTAAATTGGTAAAATCCAACTCTCCAGTCATCAAAGCAAAGAATACCAGTACTTCCCAGTGAAAAAGAAACTAGGCCAATAAGTGGGAAAGTTAAGAAAATTGCTACCTGCTTTTTATTTATTTATTTATTTATTTAAAATCTCTGCCGTAGAACTCTTTTATTGAAGGGAAAGGCTGATGTTGATTTCTTTATGGTTCAGCTTTCCAACCCTGTAGTTAGGAGAACTTTCCTTTTTATTTAATTTTTATGAAGTATGATTAATAGGCTCTGGCTATCACAGAAAATAAATGTAAACTAAAGATCCTAATCTTGGTTAGAAGAATTATCAACAAGGAAATAGGACAAGGAGGTTGAAATCTCACAGCTTTTTTTACAAAAGAGAAAAAAAGAGACAAGGGCAGACCTTTGCAGACCTTATTACATCTTGGATTTCCAGATCTAGGATATGATTTAAAAAAAGAAAGAAAGGAAAAAGAACTCTGCAAGAAGAACAGTGAAGAAGGGCACTCAAAGCAGTAGAAAGCCATGTGTTCTAACAAGCTGCAAGGAAGATAAGTAAAAAGAGATGAAAGATGATGCAAAGACAAGGAGACACAGGAGAAAGGAGCAAATGCATTTAATCCATCACAAATAGGAAAACTTCTTGGTCCATTCTGTTCATTCTCTATGAAATAACTCTACATCAGAACCTAGGGTATTATCTTTGGAATAAGTGAGATTCGCACATCCTCAGGTTTTTCTAGAAAGAATTCAGTGGCGATTTATTTTATATACTTTTTAAAAGACGGATTTGGCGGACCTCCGCAAGTTTTAGCAATTGCCTAATAAGTTCCCTAGCCTATTTCAAATTCAATATACAGTGTTTCTGGAAAGCATTAAGTATGATAATTATACTGCTCATATATTTTCCTTTAATGTTTGTAATAACCAAAAGGAAATTAATGCAAGAGAAAAAATATAGATAATAATGCTTTTCTTCATAAGACATCTCTTTCTAAGAGAGAGATTCTAACTACTAGCTATACATTATTGTACCCATTTAAAGTGTTATAAAAATAAAAACTAGTTGGTAGCAAATAGAGATTTGCACCACACAAACTATACAGCTGAAATAAATAGATGTTCACAATGAGGATGTTCCCATTTAGGAAAAAAAAGTTTAAAACTATTTTTTTTTTTAATTTGATACAGCAATGTTGTCATGACCTTCATCCACACTGGGAGTTTGGTAATATTTTCATTTATATCTTCTCTCTATAGAGACAAATTATTACTACCTTGAAATCTCAGTTCCTGGGTGGAAAATAACTTTATAAATACTTCAAACACATTTGTAGCAACAGATTGTTCAAATACGAATGCAAAATAGCATCCCCTGTCAAAAACAGCAAGAGATAATTTGAATCCAGAAGACAGGAGTCCCCCTACACATACAGTTCACTGTCAATATTTGGAAATAGTTCATATATACCATTACTCAAAATGAGAGCATATTAAGCACTCCCCCACCACCACCAAAGAGCATGCATAAAGTGAATGGTCAGTTATAATCTTCAGCTGCACTATGATTATGCATACTTCCTGTTAGATTCTGGGTAGCCTGAATCAACTTGAAATTTATATAACTGATTACTGGCAACTGTAAGCCCTTGTTGATTTAGCTATAACCTTTGCTATACTTGCCCTCACAATAATACTAATAAAATCCATTTAAATACATCAAATTTTCTGATTGCACATTCATTTCATAAATATTTCTTGAACAACTCTTATTTGACAAGCACTGTCTTAGGCCCAGAAGATATAAAAATAAATAACACTTGATACCTTTTGCCCTTAAAATGTCACATTTAAGTAAGGATAACAAACATGTGAAAATAAATTTTAACTCAATGCAACAACTATCCTATGAGAGCATGTTGTTAGGATTATACTAACAGCACACACTAATAGTATAACACACACTATGCTATAATGTGTGTGTGTGCATGTATGTCATGACATCATGTAAATGTACTGTCTTAATTTGGGTTGCCCCCAAAGCAGCCACTGAGCTGGGATTTGGGTTCAAGTAAGCTATTAAAGAGATGATCACAGGAAGTCTTCTGAAGGATTGACTTGTATAGGAACTATATTTAGTAGCCTCCAAGGTAGGACTAAAGCAGTGGTTCTCAAATTTTAAGGTGCCTCAGAATTGCCTGGAAGGCTTGCTACAGCAAGATGGCTAGGTCCACACTCAGAGATTTGGCTTTAATAGGTCTCCACTGGAATTTTCATTTTCATAAATTCCTATCTGATGCTGATGCTGCTAAACTAGGGGTCACATTTTGAGAACCATTGACCTAGGAGATATGAGCAGAGAACAATAACATAAGCCACATGCACATATAATCAAATATTTTTGAAGTCCTTATTCTTACCAAACATTGCAATTTTCTCATACAATCAACCATCTGTTTTATGAACTGTTGAACTTGTATGAGTTTTCAACAAGCATAAACCTGGAATGCCTATCATTAACTAGTTGTTAAGCAGGTGACCAAATCCAGGTGGTTAATTAGAAAATATTTGACTGATACAATGCTCTGGTATTATATTTTATTTTATCTTATTTTATTTTATATTTTTTCTGGGATGCCTGTAGCTACAACTAAATGTCTATCTCTGATTTGAAAGAAACAGGGTACAAAGGTTACATTTATTGCACCAACATTTTCCTCTTGGATAATTCATGTGAAATAGCTTTCAGCTGCTTATCTAGATCAGCATGTGTGAGAAGTGAAAGTGTGTGCATGTGTATTAATGATATGTGCATGTGTAGCAGGAATAACTATTTTGTGTTTATAAATATTTGATAAAATTCTTCCAAGCATGAAATCGGAATTTTCTCTGCACGAAGCAAAATATTTCTGTGAGGTTCATGGAGTTGGAATAACAACATAAGTCTCGTAAAAGAGTTTGGCAAAATAACTACACCTATACCTTACTGCTTTTGAATAAAGACCATTTTGTGGAGAAACCTTTTCACTCTGATTCTTGCCTGTGTCTACACTACAGATAAGAAAGTCATTTATGGAGGGACATTTTTAAAACAAAATAAGTGTTTGTACTTATGTGGGGAGCATAGTAACAAAGAAATATATTTAACTGCAAGACGCTATTTGTTTCCATAGAGTACACATGCAATTTTCTATTCTGAGTACACACTTAAATCCACGTAAAAGGGGCAGTTATTTTCCAAGGACACTGAGTGGAATAAAGTAAACTGACTGAAAATAATTAACTCTAATGCTATATAACTAAGGGCTTTCATCAGAATCAGGAAAGATAAATAGATAATATCAGCTGCATAACCTATTCATTTTAGAAGGTAAAAGTCTGAGATAATATATTTCCCTTTTCACTAAATATTTCTTTATCTCAGTAAAATTCATATAGGAACAATATATGGAAAACCAACATTTGATCAAAAATGCCCTGACTTTAAACATCAATATATTTCATCCCTTAACATCTATAGCTTGAAAGCTAAAGAGTAAACTTTTTTTCTTATTATTGGAGATATTCAATGTAAGTGCCAAGCCTTAAAAAATAATAAATAAATAAATATTTACTTAGGGTCTACAAATGAATATGAAATAAAACTGCCCCCCCATTTTTCTATGTCTTTTTAAATCAGTTGCTTGCCTACATGACTAAATCTCCTTTTTTCCCCTTAAACTCCAGTGATTTTAGTGCTCTTGTTTTCAACCATTTGTCATTTTCCAATTCAATTCCATACTTCAAACCTGGTGTTTTTATGAGACACCTTTGTGATTTGACACTCCTTCTCTGTTTTTTAATGAATGTATAGAAATAACTTAATTGGTTCTTATTTTGATATTGAAAACTTACAGTCAAAAGATAGGGAAAAAAGTATTAATAGCACAACTTGTGATTTGATAGATTTATTCAACAATTACGAGTCCCTTTCTCAGTCCCAGTTGCTGTAAAAAGTCCTTCAGCATGTGTTATCTTTTTTAAAAATTTTCAAAATATTAAGGGGGTGAAAATATTTGTGTTGCATGGATAAATTGAATCATGCTGAAGTCGGGGCTTTTAGTGTTCCCATCACCATACATTGTACTTGATAGGTATGTTTTTTTTATCCCTCACCCTCCTTCAATCCTCCCCACTTCTTGGTTTCCAGTGTCCTTTAGGCCACTATGTATGACTGTGTAAACTCATGTTTTAGCTCCCATTTATTAGTAAGAATATACAGTGCTTGGTTTATCATTGCTGGGACACTTTGCTTATGATAATGTTCTTCACTTCCATCCAAGTTGCTGCAAAAAAGACATTATTTCATTCTCTTTTATGGATGAGTAGTACTCCATGGTGTGTGTGTGTGTGTGTGTGTGTGTGTGTGTGTGTGTGTGTGTGTGTGTCTGTATCTCACATTTACTTTATCCACTCTTCAATTGATGGACACTTAGGCTGATTCTATATCTCTAAAATCATGAATTATGCTGCAATGAACATTCAGGTATGGGT